TTATTTAGGATGTCAGAGGAAGTTTCTGATAGAGATGAAACTGAGCCTACTTATTCTAAATTTCATTCTTACACCTTTACTGGTAAACAACCTTTCTCTCGCTTATCAGGAAAAAGGAATGAGGCAGCTGAAATGTCTTTATTGACAGTAATATGTTTGTTGGAGCATAGAAGGAGAGTGGACGGGACTGGAGCTCCCTCCCTTCCTCGTTAATACTATGGTGAAACAGAGAGATGAATACCCCCTTCCTTCGATAGTGGGATCACTTCTGATCAGAGACCAAGGAATGGAAGCTGCTGCAATAGCACTTAACAAGTGCTCCCCTTGGCAGCAGAGATTCTCAGCTGCAAAGTGCCTTGAATTATTGATATGGTACAGCACAACCTTAACAAATCAGGTATCTTGTGTTTGAGGCTGAGATATATTTGCATCTGCGGATTTAGTTGTGGCATAGCTTAAGCTGGAGCACTAAAATAACATTACTCCTAGAGCAGTCTTAATTTTCTGCAGAATATTCTTACTGAAGTCCTTTGCCTAGGAGTCTCTTGTGTTTAATTTAAAATTCTCTTTTGGCCCTGATGTCTGTTCCATGTTCCCGCATTCTAGTGAAAGGGCAAAAAGGGTCAGTATTGAGCAGCAGCAGAAGCAGAAAAAAAATGCGTACCCTGAGTACTTGGCTAGAATGCGTGCTTTAAAAATCAACATTTAGAATGCTACCTGCAGAACAGCAGTAATCATCTCTGTATGGAGTGCTTCACGAGAGCTTTCTAAATGTTTTTGTAAAATTAAAAATACATTTCACCAGGTTGGGCTTGCATCTGGATGACTAAATGGGTGGCTTGTGATGAAGCTGTGCTGATTTATTTTCATCAAAACACAGTCACCTTTTGCAAATGTAATCATAATGCTCCTATTCAAGCGATATTAGAAAGAAGAGCACAATAGGTGTGTCAGTCTATTTTTTACAATAGCATACCAACCAAATGGGTTGACCAGAGTGGAAAAAAGCTTCATGAATTGCCAAGGGAAGAAGTTCTTTCACCAGCCTAAGTAAAATAAATAAATAAGTACAAACTGAAAGCAAGCTTGGTGTACCTCAGCTCTCCCATCTGTAGATGACATGCAGATCACCAACTCATTTTTCCACAACAGGATTTGGAAAACAAAATTGGAAGTTTTCAGAATTTACAGAATGACATCTGCAAAGATAAGTGTATGAAATGGAAAGTGTGTTTATTAAAAGGAAGGAAATGTCAGCTGAAGAAATTCTATTCTGCAGAATTTAAAATAGAAAGTGGAAGTGTCTGGGAATTGTTAGGATGAAATCTAGTGTCTGGAGGTGGTGGCTTGTGATTGAAACAAGTTATTGAAAAGAATTTATTTGTCCAAAAATACTTGGAACTTTCAATCTTCTTCCTGAAGCTGAAGAGGACGTGCAAAGAGCAGCCTAAGCCAGTAAGGAGGAATGCCAGACCTTTGTGTGTGCCACATGCGATAGCTCTGGAAGGGGCCGCCTCCAGGTCCGCAGGAGCAGTTTATAGGGAACCAGATGGCATCGAGCTCCACCTGCTGCACTATCTCTGTAGTTCATTTTACTGAGAGCTGCTGGGTGTGATCTCAAGAAAAAGGACCTCAAACATTTTCAGGGGAACTTTTGGATTAATTTCCTCAAGTGATCTCACTTAGGACCACATTTCCTATATTACTGTATGATCTTTTTTGTATCTGTTTAAATTGCTGTTCTTTCTTACATATGGAGCTGTATCTTATTCTGTTACTTCACTATAAAGAAAGCAGGAAATGATCACTGAAACAAACCTTTGATAGCTTAAAAGCAAATTAGATGAACTAGGATAACAGTCTCCTTAAGTTGGAAACACTATCAAAAAAAAAAGGGAGGAGCAGAGGGGGACCTCCAAGCCTGTTCACTATTTCTGCACTAAGATTGTTCAAGTTGTCATGATAACATATTGTTGAGCCTAACAAATTAGACTTGGCAGCATTATCTCAGTCTTTTATATCTGCACTACAAATTATGAAGATGGAATTCTCCTGTTCTATCATTATGTACTGTTACTGCTTTAAGCTCAGGTTGCACCTTTTCAGTACACATCGTAATGAAAGATATCGTTGTAGGAAAGGAAGCTATTTCCTTCTGTTTTCTGTGATAAGGCTGATTGAATCACATTATCAGTACCTGGGTGGAAGGGTAGCATATGTGATACCTCCCTCCCCTTCCTTCCTGTCAAACTGTGCAAAGGTTAGGTAGGTTTACAGCTCTTTTCTCTTGCCTTTCCTCATGAACTGGCAGAGTTGCCTGACCAGAGGTAGGATGCAGGATAACATTGCATCCTGTAAAATGTTGATCACAAATTTATTTTTTCCCATCGTGTCCAGGAATCTCTGAAAGTTCTCTTTGAAAGAAACTTTTCTCTCAGTGCTCTACAGCATTGCACATTTGCAAAGAATGTGCCTAAATGGATTCTGAGCTAGTACTGGTGGTCAATTGAAGTCTTTGGAGTAGTGAGTTATTCTGAGAGATTTTTTAAATGGATTTTAATCACGTCATTCAAGGTATTGCCAGCTGTAAAAACAATGGTAGCTGGCCATGGCCAACATATTGCTGCTTCTGCTGGGAGAAAAAAAATAGTGTCAGGAACAAATCAGACCAGAAATTTGGCTGTTTCTGAAGCCTAAGATGCTTCTGCTCCAAGTCCAAATCAGGTTTCTAATAGCTTTCTCTTTACAGATTAAATGTTTGCAATTATAAAACAAAACAGTAACAAGAAAAACCACCACCAGCATTAGTCTGCATGCTATTCCTGTGGCAAAGAAGATGAGAACTCACATGAGCTTACAATTTTGGGTTTTGTTGCTTATTATACTATGGGATGATGCTCAGATAAGGTTGGTGGTTAGCATTGTAGATTGCAAGTACAGAGGAGAAAGCCAGATGAAAGTAGTTCAACCTTCGTTCTCCTTCTCTGCTACTGTGTCAAAAGACTGAGAATTTCTTGGAGCTATTTTTTCCATTGTAATCTCAAAATGATGTGTGCGCCCTAATGTAAATTAAATGATGTTCAAAATATTAAAACATTGGATGGGGGGAGGAGGATGAAAGCCTTTCACGTTTTGAAATGAAATTGCTTCTAGGTCAGGTTCAGGTCAAATTGCTTCTAGGTCAGGTGAAGGCTTTTTTCACCTAGGAAGTCATTTACCCATCCATCTGGCACCTTTCTACTGTGAAGAGTACTCTGAAGTTTAGAAGGGTGGATTAGAGAAAAATAATAGTTACGTCATTTATTAACATTAACATTTATTATGTTTCAGATATTGTTTGCATTAATATACATACAGTTATGAATATAGTTTATGCTGAAAATAAAAAATCAAACCCACAAATACTGGGTTTTGTTTGGCAACAAATTTCTGAAATCCAGTCAACTTTTGAAAGTCTGTTTTCACAAATAAAGACATGGGACTATTCAGACAAAATATATTGATTATGGCATATAATCATAAATAGTTGCACTGAGTTTTAGGGAAAATAAAATTTAAGACTCTCTTCACTGACTGTATACTTATCTCCAGTAATTTCCTCTGATGGGGTGAAATACAGTTGCCTGCTCAGGCTGTAAAATGATTCCTTTCTCATTCAGTGTGTGAATGACCTTTTTTCACACACGGAGGCAGCTCTTGGATGTATCGGGGTCCCTCTAAGATTTGTACTCCCAAGCCCTGTCAATTTGCCATCTGTCCCTGCTCCTGCTGACCAATCTTGTTCAAGTGCTCCCCAATTGCATGAAATAGCAGAGCCTTTGGACACTTGTCTTTGACATTTTATTAGTTTATCTTTACATGCTGCAGAAAATCTTATTTCTATTCCAGCTACTTTGCTTTTAGTACCATTGCTGCTTAATTTTTTTTTCCAGTCTTTTGTTTATGGGCTGCCTCAGTGATTACATTAGAATGCTGGTGTTAGCAGTTTTCTGGGGGGTGAAGAATACTGCTCTGTACACCTTCAACCTTTGTTCTGCTGAAATGTTACATTGGAACATAGATTTGGAAAGCAGTTTGTGCCTTCCCAAGTCAAGATTCTAAGCAAAGTGCTGTGCTCTTAGGGATTTTTAAAACACTTAAGTATTTCCAGGCTTTGTTCTGTTGTGCAAAACCTATATAGTGTAGCAAGTATTTCATCCACAGCTCTGAATTTGCTGTGCAGAGACTTTCAGACTGCATTGTACATCAGCTCTGCCCAAGCTATATGGCTGTGGCTTTCTAGGGCCTCCAGCTTTGCTTTGCTTGGAATCAATAAATGAGCTCTTTGATCTGAAACTACTCCAGGAAGGAATTACTATTTTCATATCCTTTTAGCCTGAGCACCATACACTGCTGAGTGATCTAAAATCTTTTATTAATCTACCTGCATATATGCCTATGTATATTAATATTAATAGGAGGGAATCTGTCTTCCTTCCACTTGAATAACCTACTGGTTGAAGGAGAACTAAAAATGGGCTTGTGTTTGACTTCAGGGCTTTTCATGAGTCTGTGCCATCCTTGGGGGTGAAAGCACAGACCCAAGAATAGTGATCTAGAATGGTATCTATCTTCAGGGAAGAACAATTACTGGTAAGTAATTTCCTATTCCTGTTTTGGAAATTGGATTTTCTTTTTATGTTAGACGCAGTAGATAAATCTTCCATAAGAAAAGTGTTTTTTTTTTTTTTTAAAACATTCAAGCACAGTAATTTAGAAAGTGTGTATGCACTTTGCGCGGTAGGTTTTCCATAGGTGCTTCACATGAGAACCTCTCTGTGTGCCAAATTTACTCAGTGACATTTTAAGTGTTTCTACATAAGACTAGCCATTACTTTTGTTTTAGTTTGCCTCCCTGTAGGACAACTAATTTACACCGCTTAATTTTGAAAATGGTGACTAGCTACTGTATGGCTAATGAGCACTTCAAATATGGTTACATGTTTTTGTTAATATTTTAGGAACCAGCAAAAAAAGATGTGCAGGAAAGACCACACAAAGAAGTAGCTAAGGTTCCTACTAATGAGTACTCTTTCAATCCGAAGGTAAGACTACATAGTTTAATTACTGTTGAAGCTTTGATTCAGGGTCGAGTTAAAGAAGCCAACAGACAGACATCATATTTAAAATATATACATAAGTGTTTACTGTGTTCAAGGCTTAAAGCCTTACTGTACAAAAGGAACCAGCCTTTTTGCTGGCTGATGAACATATCATAGGTTTTATCTAGTAAAATGATCGCTAATGAGTGAGATAAGTTTATAGTGTAATTTGGTAAAAAATACTATTCAGAAAATTCAGTTTAGTGTTGCTAGTTATTCCATTCATCAACTCTGGAAGGCCAGCCTTCAAACTATACAACAGTTTAGCACAGAAATGACTAACTTATTCAGAATGACTGTTTAAGCATTTTGTTTTTTGAAGGATGTAGGTAAGTATTGCACATCCTTACATCTCAAAAACCTGTAGGTGAAAGGGGTGTTGGTCATCTTTATTTCCTTTACTGGGAATTTATTTTTATGGGCACCCTAGGACAACTTACAAGATGCACAAAACTGCCCAAAGGAATAATTTAGGCGGCCCCTCAGGTTGTGCACACCAATATTACTCTTCCCAGTATATGGCAATTCAGCCATGCACTCCTTGCACATTGAATGCTGCCTCAGCTGCATATTTTATTAGCTTAATTAACACATGCAAAAGCACTGTATGTGCACAGCATGTGATCATCATTCTATAAAACTGATGCAGCTGTTCTCTGGAAGCCCCAAGGATACTTCTAAGCCATGGCTAGTTCAACAACAAATGTAAACTTTTATCTCATAGATGTTCAGAAGAAAACATGTTGCACGCATTTGAACAATGTACTAAGTTGATGATTTTAATTCCCTTGTGTGAAATTGCTGACCTTGTGTATATACTCCTTTTAAAAATAAATAAATAAGAAACCATTATGTTCTATGCTCCAAAAACAGCCACATCTGTGGAACTTTTCATATTGCTTTCATCTTTTTGCTTTGTTTGTGTGTGTTTGTTTAAAAATGCCTATCTCCTGTTTTGAGTCTGAAAATCTTCTTGGACTGGAACTTCTAAAGTATTTCTCTCTCATGTATACTTCTTGTAGTTTGCATAAGCAGTCACAGCAGTCATTCCCTTAGTCTAGGCAATTGAACAGTCTCTTCTTGTCTGATAGTTTAATGAGTCTCACAGGTCCTTAACTGCTTGTAAGGCTTCTGTTAAATCCAAAGTCAGCCAATGAGTTAAAAGCTGTTGAAATGCACATGTCTACACAGACGTATCATATAAGGTTTTTTACATGCTTATGAAGAGTCCTAATGCTGTCCCAGATACTTTTTGACCATCTCAGACAATGTTTAGTGATTAAAGCTGAACTCTGAGACTGCACATATCTTATCTCTGCTGAGCTCTTATTAATACCCTAATGCTAATTATCAACTTTATCACTTTCAGTCTGACCCACCAGAATCAGTGAAGAGACTCACCTCATTTAGAGAAACAGGAAAGGAGCTGAAGACTCTTAATAAAGCTTTAGCTCAGTCAAGGTAAGGGAATCCAGAGCACACAGAAATGGAGCAGTCAAGACTAAAAGAATTGTTGGTTCTGCAGTGGCAGCAGTTGGATTAGAGGCAAAATAATCAACTGTACTAACAGCTTAGGGAAAGATGGCTCCTAATTTTCTCTCTATGGGCTGTTGTGTATACTCAAAATTTTGACTCTGGTGCATGAAGAATGATTGATAGCTCTGTTGATAATTCTACGTTGTTTAAGTGTTCATTATAAAGGTGTTTGCTATTTCTTTGCAGTTTTTTTGCATAAAACAGTATTGTGCCAAGATCTGGTAATCAAAGTAGTCAGAAATGAGCAAAGGTGTCCACTATGATGGAAAATATAGTAGTGGCAGATATTCTCACTACAAACAGAAATACATGCAGAGACTCATTCGGAATATTCCAACCTGACTCTCAGGAAGATGCTGACTTGGTAGGAACAAACTCTTGTGCTCCTTAGTTGATGGGAATGGGGATGTTTGATTCAGACATAAATCTGGGATCCTATGTAGTCTTCAGCCAACTGCTTGGACAACAACCATTATTTGATTTAGGGGGTTGACCATAAAGATTAGTTGGGCATGCTTGCTTTTCCTAGAATGTATCTTCTATTACCACTGTCAGAGATGCAGTAAGCTGTCTCTGCAGGGCGTTTCTTATAGTCCTATTAAAAAAACAAAACAAAACAATGAAGCCTATTGGGCATAGGCTTTAGCAAAGAGTGGTTTCCAGTTTAGGTACTCATACTTTTAAATGCACTTATGCTGTGTTGACACCTGTGTCACTACAGCTGCTCCTTAAGTTGATGAGACCGAGCCTTCAATATGCTGTTCTGTTTCAATCATACATTTTGATTGCACTCCAAACTTGCCTACAGAAACCATTCACTGTATTTGCTAAGTATTAGCTTAAGTAATTGCTAAACCATTTAAGTCTTGCAGTAGGTGACTCTGGAGTTTTCTACATTTTCCTGGAACCTTCTAGCTTTCTTGATGTGAGTATTAATCTAAGAAACAAGAATCATTTGCAACTGAAACAGCAAGCAGTAGTACAAAAAGGTGATTTACATCTGGCAAGGTTTAGTTACAGCCTGCTGCAAATAAAACTGACAAATTGCTGCTGCCAGCCCCAGCAGGGTACACCTTACATGAGTGTTTACCACGTTTGTAGACTTTGAGCCTTTGAAGAACATGCACTAGATAAAAATAGTTGAATCAAAGCAAGCAGCAACAAGACAGACATTTATATGGAAACTTAATTTAATTGGTTAAAATCCAAGAAGTCTGCTAGTCAAGAGAACACGTGATATTGTATCTTCATAATATGTTAAAGATTGTTTGAGATTGTAATGGTACAGAAACCAAGGAAGTTAGAGAAAAGTAGCTTCTTGACATGTGCGACTCCAGAGGAATCACAACTTTACTTTTCACAATGTAGTGTTTATACCATGTAAACATTTTGAAATATTTATACTACAAACATTTTTACTAAGCTGTATACTAGTTACTCATAATGTTAAATTTCACATTCTTCCCTTTTATTCTTATTTTAATCCAGTTATTTTTCATTTATTTTGTTATTTTGTGAATTTTCACTTTATAAATTTGACTGAAAGGTGATCAACCATAAACAAAATAATAAATGTTGCATACTTCAAATGTTGAATGAGCCATTTTAGTAAAGGCTGGCTTGGTTTTGCTGTAAATGCAGTGTTAATTATGTTTGTCTGCCTTCATTGCAGAAGGCATATTAGTGTCATTGTCTCTTTGAAGTCAAGTTAAAGTTCTTTTGACGAAAAGCTGTCAGAGGTCAGTTTCTTCTTGATTTGTGATTTGCAGGTGCATGCAGCTTGCTTTAGGATGTTTTACATCCTTTAATTTTGAATGAGTAGGATAAAAAAAAAATACTTAAAACGTTTTGTAGGATGAAGTTTACCATCACCCGTGATATGAAAAGGCTTGATTTTTAAGTTTGATGCAACTGATTTGCCAGGCATTTGGATGAAGCTAACTGAACCATTCTTCTCATTATAATTTATAGTTCAAAGGAATTGAGTGTCATTTTGCTAGTAGGTTAACCTGAGGGGGCCTTGGTTTGTTACTTGCTGGGAAACATTTTGAAATGTCAGTAGGAGCTACGTAGTATTTTTGCATACCTTGACCAACGTAGAGATGTTTAGGATCAACTGAGCTTTTCCACGTTGTTGAAATTCTCTGCAATTAAATAGACCGAGTGAGCTTCTAATTATATAATTATAGAGATTTTATACCTACAACTTCTTCAGCATATGAGAGTGAGTAATGGACAACACAGGGCTGTTTTCTGCAGAACCTGGTGTTTTGAGCTCTTGATGAGGAGTACTGAATCTGAAGGATTCAGTGGCAAGAAAAACCATGCTTTTCCAAGGTGGCTTTGCTGTGTGCTAAAGCAGCTCCATGTAGGACAAGTGGTACAAACTGCAGCTGGACGTGATTAGTTCATACCAGAAGGAGATAAGTAGATGGCCTCTCCACACTTCCTGCACCTTCTGCTCCCTGTTTCTGAGCATTATAGCATTGTGCTGAGTGCTTTATAGGGAGGTCAGAAATTGGGAGTGGGGGTATCAAGATGGTGATCCTAACTCCTGCTGAGCAGTGCTCTGTGTACCTTTGTACAAATCATTTGACCTCACTGCACCTCTGTCAAGTAAATTGGAATCGGAAACAGTGCAATGTATCTGAACTAAACTTACTGCATAAATATATAGCTTTTAATTTGGCATGGATGGCAGAGTGTGAATGAAAATTGCTTTTTCTTTTTTTTTTTTTAACATATAGGGTTTTTTTCTTTAACCATTTGTATTTACATTCTTTTAGTCTTATTACCATTATCTTACGCTTTCAGGGATGTTAGCTTGAAAACTTGTATGATGCCTAGCACTCAGGGCATGCAAGCATTGTCTTAAGTCCACAGCTCTGATGGGTATCAGGTAGATGATGATTACTCTGATAGGAAATAGGAAAAAATCAAATTGTGGAGGTAAGATTATCACTGGAACAACTGTGACTGGAACTCAGGTGTCTCAGGTAAGTAAATACTTGAGTTGTTCTAGATTTCAGTGATGTCTCTTTCTCTGATTCTTTTTCAAAATTGGGCCGCTAAATCAGAAGCTCCAGGGAAAGACTTTAAGAGATCCAATCCATCACTCTGGGTGAGTGCAGTTGTTTCCTATAATAGATGAAGTGATTTGTGTAGCCTACTTTTAACTCAAGACACATGCTTCACATAATCATAAATGCAGATTCACCTTCAGCTGGATGTTTAATGGTAATGTAATCTGCAAAATTATGTTAAATGCAGACTTTTAATGATGTGAATAGATTTGATCCTAATGTATTTTGATGTTATGTTTTCCAAGTGATTTAAAAAAAAAAAAAAAAAAAAACACAGCTAAAAGGACAGAGAAGTTCTTATTCCTTTATGGACACTATCAGCAGAATTGTCTGTTAAGTCCTGATCAGTTGTACCTGTACCACACCCACAGAGGACAGGAATGTTGGGCAACTTCCTAAACATCTAATTTGGCCCACAGAATGTTTGTTTTTTTTTTACTGCTGATGCAGAAAATAGACAGACCCCAACTCTATTTTAATATCCCAAGCAGAATTTGGTGTGCTGACAAGTAAGAAAATCTATACCTGTTAAAGCATCTCCAACTCCTCCGTGTTTTTCTAGTTCCATAAACTTAGTTTTCAGTTGTATGCAATACTTGCTTCATGTAATTTCAAATGCCTGAGTGGGATCTATTCCTGTCCACTGATTTTCCATCACCATTGAAATGTAGGTGGAACACAAAGCAAAAGAAGACTTAATCTTGTGTTACTGCACAAGTAAATTTATATTTACTTTTTACATTGACAGCACAGTGTGGTGCCTTCACACTGATGGCTAGCAAAGTTCCACTATACTTCTCTCTCAATCTTCTTCCTCAAAGGAAGAGGGGGAGAAAATAAAATGAAAAGAGCTTGAGGGTTGAGATAAGGACAGGGAGATCACTCACCATTTACCATCACAGACAAAACAGACTGAACACAGGGAGATTAATGTAACTTACTGCCTATCACTAACAGACTAGAGCAGTGAGAAACTAAAAGCAAACCAAAAACATCCTCCCATCCCCATCCACGCTATTCTACCTCCTTTCCCCATGTGGTGCAGGGGAACAGGGAATGGGGATTACAGCCAGTTCATAACACTTCATCTGCTGCTCCTTCACAGTCGTTCTCTGCCCCTGCTCCAACGTGGGGTCCCTCCCAGGGATGCCATCCTTCCCCAACTGGTCCTATGTAGGTTTCCCACAGGCAGCAGCTCTTCAAGAACTGCTCCCGTATGGGTCTGTACAATCGGGCTGATCCTTCAGAAGCAGACTGCTCCAGCATGGGACCCCCACAGGCTGCAGCTCCCCTGAGACCTCCTGCTCCTGCGTGGCCTCTTCTCCACAGGCAGCAGCTCTGGCCCGGGGCTTGCTCCGGCAGGGATTCTCCATGGACTGCGGCCTCCTCCAGGCCACTATCCACCTGCTCCACCGGGGGCTCCTCCACAGGCTGCAGCGTGGAGATCTGCTCCATGTGGGACCCATGGGCTGCAGGGGGACAGCCTGCTCCACCAGGGGCCTCTCCATGGGCTACAGAGGAACTTCTGCCCCCCTTCTGCACTACCCTTGGTGTCTGTAGGGTTGTTTCTCTCTATATATTTTCTTACTCCTTTCTACCTTAGTGCTGTTGCACAGCAGGTTTTTTTTGTTTTTTTTTTTTTTTTTTTCTTCGTTTTCCTTTCTTAAATCTGCTCTCACAGAGGCACAGAAGCATTGCTCTATGGCTCCACTCTGGCCATTAGCAGATCCCTTTTGGAACTGGCTGGGACTGGCTCTTATCTAATGCGGGGCAGCTCCTGGGCTCTTCTTACAGAGGTTGCCCCTCAGTCCCCCTGCTACCAAACCTTGCCATGTAAACCCA